AAGAAGCACAGCTACAAAGTCGAAAATAAAGTAAAGAATCGTTACAGTAACATGTAAAAAAAGGAAGAGTGCTGTAGTCGTGTGAGCTCGACTACGATATACCCTGAACGCAGTTGTTAAATATATTCAAGTCTTATTGGCAAATTTCGCTTTAACCAGTTTTTCATCCAAATGCATGTGAGCAGCTCTTCAAGAGCATTCCTTTCCTATGGCAGGCATAGGGACTGCAAAAAAGAAACTAAGCCAGCGCATATTTTAATTCACAAACCCGAACTGGCTGACGACAAACACGTGAATATTCATACATACTGTGGCAGTTAAAGTTCTCAAACACGTCTGCTCACTTTACTTTATTCACAACGAATTCGCTCTACTCCTTCAAGCTGGCGATCACATAAACGACGTCGATCGATATCGATATTAAAAGTTAAGTATATAATTGTATGTTAAGTTACAGATGTTATGTTACAGTCTTAGTTATACACTACATAGACAATATATATATATATATATATATATATATATATATATAGACGCAATCGTAGATAACGGGGCTCTGCAGAATACACACACAAGCATATGCCATTATCATACCATTTCTTTCTCACACACATGTACTCGCATATTAATGCTCACAGAAAATGATTGCTGCTGCTGATACAAATGATATCAATTTGAGAGTATATTTACGACTAAAACTTGAGTGCTTCTTATCCGATCTTGATAAAATTTGGTATGCACATGCATATTATGTATTAATTCGAATATTCTGCCTTTAAAATTGTATCATTTATTGCTATCGGAAATCGAAATGTATCGAGATTCGAGAAACGGAGACAGTTATCGAGAAAATAAAGCAAACTTGTCCTGCGACGGGTATACGAGAACCTATATTCCAAATTTGTCTCTAGCTCTTATAGTCTCTGAGAGACAGACGGACATGGCTATATCGATTCCGCCGTTGATCCTGATCAACAATATATATACTTTTATGGGGTCGGAGATGCTTCCTTCTGCCTGTTACATACATTTGCACAAAACCATTATACCCTTTTTACCCATTTTTAATGGATTCAAGAAATTGAGGCAATTGCAACCACGGCGAACTCAAACACGTTGCGAGCAATTCGAATCAAACTGCAACAGCGAACAGCGAAGGGCAACAAAAGTAAAGCAACTACAAAGTGCAGCGCCGGTAAAAGCAGCAGCAGCAGCAACAGCAACAGCAACAGCAACAGCACAACAACAACAACAATGACTTCGACAACGTCAGCCAGCCAATGTGTATGAGGCTGCCTATGTACAAGAGCGCGCCTGCATGTCTGCGTGCGAGTTGCTGAACAGTGAGCTTCCGAGAGGGACACACACACAACCACTCTGTCTGCATGTGTGTGTGTGTGTGTGTGTACAGCCCCCATAAGCATTTCTCCAAATGCAGCGACGTCGACGTTAGTGTCATTTCGCTCTCGTAGCTTTGGTTCCGTTTCGTCGCCCGTCGTTGCAGTCAGTTCCTCGGTCGCCAGTCCGCAGGCAGCACTTTTTTTTTGCCCAAGCCAAACACAGGCAAACATCACACACACAGGCACACACAGTCAGTCACACGCATGCACACAGAAACTAATTCTCTCACAAATACACAGGTTGCCTGCTGTGCTCGGCGATTTTTGAGTTCTTTGCATCCGCGTCTTGGGGCCCAATGTGAGTTGCCTTGCGCACGCCAAAGATTTCAGATCGAACAGCAGCAGCCGCAACAGACACACTGAAAAAAAGCTCAGCTTAACAGGCGCCGCACCAAACACGCGAAGTGAGAGAAATAAAAAAAAAAAACCAGAGTTACAGAAATCGGCCGAATCGTCTCGTTGTCGTTATCGCCGCACTGACGACTAATTATTAAAAAATAACTAAGTGATTTTCCATTTGTCTTTTTTTTTTATTCTTCCCAAATTAGTACATTGTGAATCGGACATAGTTTATTCGCTTGTTCGTTCGCTCAGTCGTTCATACGTTCGCTCATTGGTTCGGTTGTTCGCTCATTCGCCGATTCGCTCGTTCGTTAGTTGTTGTTGTTGTCGTGCGCGATTTTACCGGCGGTGATCAAAAAGTTCTTCAGTGAATTTTTGTTTGTTGTGTGACAATATTACTTAAAATGTTTAAAAAGTGCTGCAACTGAATACATAACTAACTACCCCAGTTTCGTTGCAAGTTGAGGGAATCATAAATATATAAATTATAGTAATACTACATACGTGTGTATTTATAATCAAATATTCAACACTTTATCAAACCTTTAGTATAACTACAAGTTTCAAGTTTATTCAGTATATAATACAAAATAAATATTCGTAAATATTCAACAATAAAAACAAATTCTACTATAATAATAACACAAGGTAAATACTAAAATAATAGATATATTTAAATTACGAGAATGTACAACTAATCGTATTGGATATTGAACTTGTGTGCAATTTTTCAAAGAATTTAATTAACCTTTCGATTTAAAATAAAAATGTTAATTTTGTCTGAGATCAGCTACAACAAAATATCTGCATAATTATGCGATAGGAATCATTTTTCAAAATGACAATTAAGCATTATATTCCCTCTTACTCTTAGGAGAAAAGTTATCTTTTCTTGTTCTTCGTAGACCTATACACTTTGTCAACCCCATTTCTTCTCTACGACACTGATTAACTATGACTAACTCCAACTCCAAAGAGATTAAACAAATTTACTCATCTTTTTCATGCTTTTATCTCGCTCTCTTTCTCCCTCTCTTACTTCTTAACGTTTTTATATGTTTGATTTTTTTAAGGGTTACCAATCCTAGCAAATAAATGTTTTGACTCTTTTCGCTTAGATATCAATTTTTTTTTAATGTGTATGCTTTTCAAATTTTAATTCCATATATTTGTAATTTTCATTTATTAAATAATTTTGTACATTTTCTATTATTTAGAACACAATTTCAATTTAAGACAGCTGTTTATTTTAGAGTTTCAAGATTTAATTTCAAATCTCTTATTATTTCAAACTATAAAATAGTTTTGAACAAATTTTAAATATTAATTAATTTCAATCAACAAATTACAAGTGCCTTTAGTATCGGTACAAATGATCGCGATAATTAACTCCGCCCTAAATATGTAACCGGAATCAACAAATAACACTTTCAACTGTTTTATTAATGAAATTTAATTACACATTCGCATGCAATGTTAAGCTGTAGCAAAATCAACTACAATAAATGAGATATATAATTTATATAAAAACTAGTACTGAAAACAAACAGAATAAAATCTTCGGCACGCCTAATAGCCAGAGTCCACTATGATTACATTAGTTACATTCACATTCTGAACATTTCGCAAATTCAATTTAATCAAGGTTATCGTTAAATTGTGAGTGGCAAAAATAACACTTAATTGAAATAATACAATTAATTAAAATATAGGACAGACCACAAATACTTTTTTGCAAGCAAACCAACAAATAAAAAAAATATATTAAAAAATTAAAATGCACATTGTTGTCTATATTGCTTTCAGCATTCAATTAAAATTAATTATCAAACTTAATTTTTAATTGTATTTAAAAAAAAAAACCCTTTTCTTTTCTAGAAATATGAGCTGCTTGTGATATTAATATTGCCATAATTTCAACACAAATACACGAAATACGCGAAGTTAATTTCTAACATTCGCTAACAGATATACTGCATTTTGAATGTACAGAATGTTGTGGAGTATAACTCTTGACTTTCACTATAATTTAAGCAAAAAAAAAACCATCGATTGTTCCTAAGTTATACGAATATATTCCAAATTCCATCATCATAAAAGTGGCAGAATACTTCGCAATAGAAACAGGCAGACTAAATTGTCTAAATCGACTTGGCTAGGGTTACATATATACATATATGTATATATATATTTATATATATGTATATCATCAACATATAATTACCTATGTACTCGTAAACGTATCGTTTCATGCGTTTCAAAATTCATTAATTCATTAATTAAAATACCAAGTGCAGGGTTCTAAAAATGTGAAACAAACATCGGCAAATAGAAAAGGCCGCTAAAGAAAGTGCCTGAAAAATTGTTGCAGGCAAATGCATCCAAAACACATGCAATGCAATATATGCAAAATGATCGGCAAATTATAAACGTTTGCCAGTCTTTCGATTACATCAGCAACCACAAAGAGTTTTTTTTTTTAAATATTTTTCTTTTTCGCATGGCTAAAATTACCCAAGAAACGCACAGCTGCCTTAGTGGATGGCTGGGTGGTGCGTTGGGGCTGTTAATTTGCTAACCACACAGGAAATAGTTGTTAAATGTGCCGACATTTTGAAATTAATCAAATATTTGTCTTTTCTTTGCAGGAATCAATATTACAATATTACAAACAACACAAAAAAAGAATAAAAAATAAAAATAAACTAATAAGTCACCTACACAAACACATAGGAAATAAATTAAATAAAATCAACATAATTAATTCAATATACAGATAAACTATTTAAAACGCATTCTATACAAATCGGAAAAATTGAAATACATACATATATACTGTTCGAATAACTTACATAAAAAAATTAACATATTACAAGTTTAAATTAAAATTGTAAAGGAGCATCACAAAAGCATTTTAAAATCTTTAATTAAACTATTAAATCAACATAAAAATTATTAACAGTTCGAAAATTAATATAAAATCTAGAAAGAAAAAAAGTTAAATAAATTTATTATGCACAATATTAAATCGGATTATAATCTATTGATTATATAACAAAGTAATCAAAGTGGGAAACTTAATAAAATTACACAATCATATATTCAAAAGCAAAAAAACTAACATAAATAAAAAACGCGTTTTTTTTAATACTTATAATCCACTACTGCTACTACATAAATTTATTAAGTTGATTAAAATATAAAAAAAAAATGCAACTCATGTGCTGCATGGGACATAATTAACCACAAATTTGAATTAAATTAAATAAGACAAAAAAAAAAAAAAACAACTACGCAAACTAAACTGAAAGGCAAACAAGGTGTGAAGACATTGGTGGATTGAGCAGAGATATCGATTACTGTTTGGTGGCATGGTTTCGGAGGAGAACTGGAACAGCGATACCATGTCCGATTCGGACATGATCGACTCCAAGAACGATGTGTGCGGCGGCGCCTCCAGCAGCAGTGGCAGCTCCATTTCCCCGCGCACACCGCCCAACTGTGCGCGGTGCCGCAATCACGGCCTCAAGATAACGCTCAAGGGGCACAAACGCTATTGCAAATTTCGTTATTGTACGTGCGAAAAGTGCCGATTGACCGCCGATCGTCAGCGTGTGATGGCCTTGCAGACGGCGCTGCGACGCGCTCAGGCCCAGGATGAGCAGCGTTCGTTGCACATACATGAGGTGCCCCCGGCATCGGGTACGACGACGCCAACATCGCTGCTTGGCGGCCATCATGGCCATCACGGGCATCATGGGCATCATCATCATCATGTGCATGGCCCCGCCCATGGCCACCCACATGCAGCACATTCGCATCATAGTCAAAGTCATGGCCATCACGCACATGTGCTGCATCATCAGCAGGCAGCGGCTGTGGCAGCCGCAGCCGCAGCAGCGGCAGCATCAGTAACAGCACCACCACAAGCACCACATCAACAAACGCAGACACAACAGACGCAGCAACAGTCGCAGCAAGCGCATTTAGGGCACGCCCATTCGCACAGTCATACACATGTGCATCACGCACAAATGGCTGCCGCTGCAGCGGCCACAGTAGTGCAACAGCAACAGCAACACCACCATCAGCAACAGCACCACAACAATCAACAGACACAGCAGCAGCAGCAGCAGCAAACTCATCAGGCTGCCTTAAGATCTCCATCGCACAGTGATCCGGGTGCAGCTAGCAGCAGCTCAGCTGGTGGCGCCAGTTCCAGCAACAATGTGGCACCTGCCACAAGCAGCGGTGCAACAGCAACTGCTGGTGGTGGTGGCGGTGTTACTAGTAGGGCCAGTGGTGCTGGCGGTGCTGGCATCAGCGTAATTACCAGCGTCGATCATCACATGTCAACGGTGCCAACACCCGCCCAATCCCTGGAGGGCTCCTGCGACTCATCGTCGCCCTCACCATCATCCACATCTGGCAACGCCGTGCTGCCCATCTCCGTGTCAAGCACTCGCAAGAATGTGCCACTCGGTAAGTGGTGTCACCTTTTCACTATTCGCCATTTCAATTTCAATTGCTAAATATGTAATCAAGTATAGTATTGGAGTATATATATATATATCCTTGATCAACAGACAGAATCGGTTTAGTCATGTCTGTATTACAACGGCGATCTTACAACTTGGGAATTAAGTTCTTATATTATTTTATCGATAACATTGTTTCGAGAAAAACCACAATCTTAAGTGTATATCTTTCTTGACATAATATTTATCAAATGTAATAATTTCATCGAGAAACACAGCAATGAGAGTAAGGATCAAAAAAGTTTCTTAAAATATTTCTTAATTAACTATAAAAATTTTTATTCTCTTGAATTAGGGAATGTTGTAAGTAATGTTACTGCTCCTTTATTGGTATAGGTTCAGGTAAAGGTTATGAAAAGCTTCAACAATTTTTATTGTGTTTTTCGATTCTGTTATAGTATTTTGTATTTTAATAATATACACAGTATATTATATATACACTTATAAATGTTTCGTATAATAATATTTAATGTTGACTCTGATTTTAAAATTTCAATTATTAAAATTACAATTCTGTTTTCGGTTCCTGTTACAAACTGTAACAGAAGGCGAAATTTTCGATTCATAAAACACACATTTCCTCAATCAGCACGATGTGTTTAATCATATAGATCCAATGTCATATATCTATATAATACTATTCAGTGAGTAGCTAATATCCCTATTCAGACATTCACACACGAATCCACGTTTTACTGGTGTCTGTAAGATAATTATTCTTAGACATAGTTTGCCCTCTTCTACACGTAGGCATATCTTAAAAAGAAAAAAATGACGATAGTAATTAAATCAGGATTGCTTCATTAGAGATGCATTTTGTGTCTGCGAATGCTGTCGCCTGTATTTATGTCTGCTCACTTGGACATCCATATGAAAAGTGATAAGAACATCAAGAAATATGTAGGCATTTGTGGCAAGGCAACATTTGTGTGCGACAGACCAACAAAATTGTGACACAATTAGCAAGAAAGTACGGAAATGCGGCACCACACATTCAATAGTGTCTGCACCATGTCTAATAAATTTGTAGCTGTTTATGTAGCTTTTAGAAACGATCTACAAAAAGAAGAGTAAAAGTTTTAAAATTTTCCCCAAATATTAAGTACGTCATTTAAAAAAAGTTTAAATAATATTAAACTAACAAAAATATACCTATGTTTTTTGTAAATTAACAAATAATTGATTATTAGTTGAATACCAGCTTGATTTATATTATTATTGCATTCAGAGTAACTTAAGAATGAAAGATAAAAAGTATAAATATATATATATATATATGGATATACTCAATCATAAATCAACAACTAATTGCAAGAAACTGATAAATTGCTTTAGTAAGTACCTTTAAAGACTGGGCATCAAAAGAAAAGTAGTCCAAAAATGTTAGCAACAACAATTAGTCAACTATTCATCACTCGAATTCATATTTGAATTGTAAATGCTGTTTGTTGAAGTGTAGCCAAACCACACAGAACCATTGCGCAGAATTGTCTGCCAGAAGTGCGGCACGTGTAGACATTCCCTTCTATAAAAAGAGCACCACAATAATGCCAATTCTGAATGCTCGCCAGGAATGAAATTTGAGCGTGATCGTCACACCATTTAATGCCAAATTCCCAAGTGCCCAAGCGCCGAATACCGAATACCGAATGCCGAATGCCGAATGTAGTTGCTTAGCACACTGGTGTGCTGGTCTGGTTTGGCGAGCGATCCAGTTAAATGAGTGGGTTGTCAGTGCGGCAACAATGTTGCTGAAACCCGAACACAAACTCGCGATTCAAACACGACCACCACAAGTTAAGGCCGAATGAGTTGGCCAGGTAGACGACTCTCTGTATGATTAAGTGCTTGCAGACAGTGTTCGTCACAGCGAGCAAACCCAGTGCAAACAAGACAGTCTTAGCTCCCGTTTTGAGTGACTGCCTCTTGACTCTTGGTTCCCCTCGTGGGGAGAGTCCCATGAGTGTGTGAGTCCATAAGTCCGTCAGTCTGTCGCCCCGCGTCACAATTGATATTTTGAAAATGTCTGCTTCTCTGCTTCTCTGCTTGTCTACTTGTTGCCGGCTCATGCAATGTGAAATCAGTTGGCAAATCATATAAGAAGCAAATTAGCTGCGAATCTGCTGATATAGTGTGCCCCACTGTTTTGATGAATGGTTATGTGCAACTGCTTGGACAGATAATTCAGAATTTGTATGCGTGCATTGTGTACATATTATATGCTCTTTAACCGATTGGCAATTATGGAAAACAACCTGACTAAATGAGGAGTATGTTGTTAAATAGGCGAGCCTTATTATTATGCAGACAACATTGACACTAATATGACGGACAGCAACTTTGTAAGATAGACACTCTTTAGACACCGACACAGACACAGGTGATTTGCATTTGGTAAACAGGTGATTTCTTTCAGATTTGCTTTCGGATTTGTCGGCTTAAGGTCTCAAAATAAATTAGTTACGGTTATCCTTGTCTATAAGAATTGCCATAAGCTGTTTGAGCTCACGTCATATTTTCTATGAGTGCTGTAAAATATTGCAATCAGATATATATATATGGGAATATGTGTCGACATATAAAGAAATAAAGATACGTATGACATCTAACTTTTGCTTACCATCTATATATTTCTATATATGTCGATCAAGTTATATGAGTAGGTATATAAATATATATACACATACATATATACACCTTTCCTTTATCATGCCATAAAGTACAACGAATATTATATTAATATTACTGAATGAATTTAATACAAGCAATTCTTGAGAAGCAATCAGACTTGCTTCATAATGTCTTGATGGTCTCCCTCCCTCTCTCTCTCTCTCTCTCTCTATATATATATATATATATCCATCTCTCTCTGTGTCACTCCTTGATTTAATAATTCGCTTTTCGTAAAACCCCCACACCCTCGGAGCCCTTGAAAATCACGCTTTCTAATCGTAGTCACGTAACTGCAAATGGAACTTCAACTAAGAGTGCCAGACTGTAATGAAAATGCTTTTGGTGTTTTGGCTTGGGCTGTTTGGTTGGTTGGTCGTAAAACTTGGCTAACTCTAAGTTGGATAGGTTTGGCCTAGGGTTTATTTCGTTGTACACGGAATCATCGTTAAACCGTTAAAGTCAAGTGGCTGGCCAGTTAGCAGGTGGCGAATCGATAGACTTCAACTTCGACTTCGACTTCAACTTCGAGTTCGGTTCGGTTTCAGTTCAGTTAATTAATTTAATGCGCTTGCGCTAATTTCGGGTCCTTAAAGACAGACTGTCTTTCTTCATCTGTTTCGTCTTCTACTTTTTTTTCTTCTCGTTCTTCAACATGTTCCCAGAACACCAAACTGAACAGCAAAACTTTGAGGCGCTCGTAAAATTCAAGTTGTAAAAATGTATTTTTGCGTTCTTTTGCGTGTTCTTTTTTTTTTTGGTTTGCTTCTTGTGTTGTGTTTTCGATTTCATTTCAAATGGCAGCCATATTTGTTGCTGCTGTAGGTCTTTAAATTATTTTTTCTTTTTTTTTTACATTTTTATTATTCTACATTTTGGAATCGTTACTCTCTGAGGCGGTCCAGGGATCAAAAACAAGTCATTTTGTTGCATAATTTATGCTATTTTCCAGCTAATGCGAAGGCATTACTTTTAATTATGTTTTTATATATTTTTTTTTTTTTTTTTTTGCGGTAGTATTTGTGGCAAGCTGAGCTTCAGAGAGCTAGGATTATGCGCACAAATGGTTTTTTAATTATGTAGCCAGCAGGAAGAGGTACTATTGACCAGTCGGCTGCCAACATCAAAGAGCTATCACATTTAACGTTAACTAGTAATCATCTTATTGAGCTATTAAAGTTGTCTTATACCACTAAGCAGGCAATGGATTGTCTGTGCTGTCTGCTTAGTGCTTTATGCAGCATGGCAAATTTCCAATTTTAAATTTGCAGTTTTGGGCTTGGAAATCAATTAGTTTACGCACAATTCTTATCCTCTTTTTATGCTGCGATTTTTACATTTTTATTCAAAGAACCACAATGGAGATTACATGATTGTTTCATATAACATTTAATCACTTTTAGAACAAACAAACAGAATTCCAAATATAATTATGGGAAAATATAATATAATATATAACTATTCGAGTAATAAAATTCGTTTAATTACATTATTATAATTCCAGTTGATTAAACTAAGCAATCATCATATGTAATTAGATCCCATCAGGAACTAACAGAGAAAGGGCTGCAACACAAAAACATTTAAAAATATAGAAGGCAATTAGCGACGCATGAACTACTCATGCATCACTTGCAGGTGTTGCACTTGCACCTCGAAGAAATTTCGGTTCACAGCTCACGATAAGTTGTGTAGGTCAAATTGCTTGTTCAGTTAAGTGAACACAACAAAGATGCGCACAATATCGTTGAGTGTCCCCCTTCCGTGTGGCATGCAACATATCAATTAGCAACAAGTATTCTGCACTTAAAGTACACCTTTTTGGAATTTGCACTTCATTAATATTTATATGGTCGTAATAACTCTGATATAAATACACATATTTTCCAGGTATTTTTAAGTAACAAATTATTCGAATTTATTCTATAAACAATTTTTAAATCTCCTTATTGTCTTCAACTATATGAAACTCATTTTTGCTTTCAGCGATTTTGGAGAGAAGAGATTCAAAAACATCAATTATTGAAGTGCTATGATATTATGTATATTATATATATATATAAATATAAATATTGGACAATCGAACAGAAAAAATATTTACAATATTTCCCACTAGCTGCATTTAAATGCAAATCAGTTCAACGCTCTCCCATTTACGTGTGTATATTTTTAGATGCTGCAAACTCAACTGCAACAAACCTGCTCCAACTGACACACTCACACATATTCACACACACACACACCCACACACACATGCATGCGGTGTTAACTTAC